CCCTACCTGGATGACAAATGGAGAAGCATATTTTACAGACAAAGCAACTCCCACCTTCCTGCCCCCCACCCTTTGTTAATGGGTCAGAGGCAGAAAGTCAATCCTTTGTCAAAGGACATTTGCAACACAATAGCAACAGAAACTAACACAATGGGCCCCATCAAGCCATGTGATCCTGTCCACCATTAAACCATCTTTCCAAGCAGTCTCCATGTTTCCAGTGTCTTTTTCCCCACTTGGAGCAGAACCCAGAAGGATATTTCTTCCAACACAGTATTTAGTCATTTCAATTAAATTTACAATTTTTATATTTCCTTTTTACCATATTTATTCCTCATCTATTTTTTAAAAAACCAATATTACCCTTCATCCTCATCTCTAATCTTAATCAAATTCAATTTTTCCCTTCTATTCTATATTATACCCCTTCCCATTGTCATCTATTTTTATATCCATCCTCACATTGGTTAATTATGTAATATTACAGTTGTTTAATACAAATTCAACATTTTAATATAAATCTATTAGTTATATAGCTACCTTTTTTGTATATTAATCAATATGAACATGAATATTCCAATTATTTCCATGCAATCCAATTTCTTACAAATCAATTAATTATATTTACCAATAATAATTAACCAAATAATTTCCCCCATATATTCCTCCAAACCACAACTTAACCATTTCTGCTTTCAACACAATATACAATTAATAGTATCTCAATTATTACAATTCCCTAGTTAAATAGAGCTTTTTTTCTTCTGTGTTTTAAAATCTTGAACCTCCTCTTGCCCTAAATTTCCCATTGTTTGCAGTTTGCACCTACCTTTTTTGGTGAGGAAAAAGAAATCTCTCTGCCTCATTTTGTCACGTTGCAGCCAAGACCCTGCTTACTTTCAATTTCCCTTTCTCAGCATAGCTAGGGGGGAAAAAATCTGCTCCAGGAATTTACCTCTTTGCAGCTAGCTAGCAACAGAGCCCTCCGCAAAACAGCTGAGAGTAGGGCGGCTCTTTGAAGCCCCGTGGCAAGAATTTAAAGTTTTTTTCCCCTCTAGCCATTAGCTGGGACTCCGGAGGCAGCAATAGATTGGGAGTGGGCGGGGTAAACGAACGGCGACCGGGCGATCCAGCAAAGGGTGAGGGTGAGTGAAGGTGGGGGGGGCGAGAGAGGGCTTTGGCGACCCCTGGAAAATGGCCGTTCGACCCCCAAAGGGGTCGCGACCCCCAGGTTGAGAACCGCTGCTCTATGGAAACTTTCCATAAGGAACTAAGGGAAAAAAACACACACACAACCTTCCACAAAGAGCTAAGACTTTTCTTCATCCTCATTCCTTTGCAGATAGTTTCCCTTTCCTTTTCTCCCGTGGAAATTTAGGATTCTGAGGAACCCATTTGAAGAATCCTGACCTGAAGCATTTTAGCCCTTCTGATCAAGGGCTAAACAAACTCCTTTTTGTGCAATCTACCTTTGCTGATAATTTTCAAGGAATTAAAAATAAGCAATTTTGATACTGAGTAAGGCAGAGAGGCTGAGTGGAAAGGAGAACTGCTTATTTTTTTAAAAAAAGAAATGTAAATGTTAGTGTGTATGTGTGTGTGTGTGTTTACTAGAATCATTCCCACTTCCTGTTTTGGCTGTATTCAATTTGCTCTTTGTGCTACCCACAACTATATCTCAACTTTTACACTTGATTCCAAAAAGTTGTGCGCCCATAAACTAAAGATACCTCAAGCCCAGAGGCATTACTTGCTTCCAGTAAAGCCTAAATAATGGAAACCTGGCTGAGGGTAGACAATCCATTAATCATGCAAGGATACAGTGGGGAGCTTTTAATTTTTTTTTAAATTGAATTCATTTCTGTGGTACACTAGTCGCTTTTGTGAAGAATTCAGCATGGGAATTTCAGTTCAAAGAATCTGTCTGAGTCTCATTTGCATCAGTTGAAGCAATAGAAGAAATAAAATGACCTTATTCTCTCTATTTCATAGCTACAGCACATGGTTGCAACACAGTATGATGCTGGCAAATCTTGAGTCTCAGTGCAGTGTTACTAAAGATTGTGATAATTTACAAAATACAAGGCCTCTTATTCCCTCTGAAGTTTATGGTATCAGCCTGTGAGAAACAAAGTCATCCACTGTTTCAGACAGTGATTGCAATTGTTCTGTTCCTTTTTTAAAAAAAATTATTGTCACTGCTAGCAGGATGCCTATTTGCTTTTTTGTTGGGAAAGAATGTTCATTACCAAGAGTAGCTTTTTAGATGCAAATCTAATTCCCGGGGAATCACTTTGATTTTCTGTGCTAATGATAGTAATGCAAGTTTCTCTCAACTATTGCTTTCAGTTTGGACTAATACCCCTCAGCTCTGAAGATATCACCAATTTAATGACAACCTGGAAATCCTAAATCCCTCTCCAAGGAATGATAAATAATACCTGTCAATCTCTTCCAATGAATAAACACACTTTTATCTGCATTAATCACATCTGGCAGGAACTATTCAAGCCTGCTAGCAACAATCTTGGTGAACAGCTTGGTATTATTGCTCAATAAGGAAGTCGAACAGTATTAAAACACATAGACACACATGCAATCTGAAAGTTCCTTCTTTCTTTGATACCAAACCAATATATCAATTATAAAATCCCATCAAATGAACAGATTTGAGGGGGAAAAAATCCAAAACTAGCAAAAATCCATGTTCTGAATATTGACTTAGAGGCTAGTAGACAAAAACCTCACCCTTTAAAACAACCTGTGTGCCTTATTTATAGACTTGTTTGTTAAAAAGGAAAATAATCAGTCTTTTTGTGCAGAATCATAAAATATCCAATATCTTTTTCAAAAATCTGCAAGTTATTATTGGCTATGTTGAATTCAACATTATGAACATCCTTCCCAGGCAAGCTTATCTGATACTTATATTATGGTCTTTCAGTTTCCATTACACTATCTTGGCTCTCATAGGAGCAGAGAGGCTTCCTGGCTATTTCTCCTCCATTCCATGTTATTATGAGTAAAATGAAGTCTGATGATCATATCAGATTGCTCTTTAGAATGAAATAAATCAAGATCTGATCTGAACTGAATTTAAATTTGCTTAGTTATAACTCATTCTAGTTGAAGAATAGGGAAATTTAGTATGATGATGATGATGATGCTTATATTTATGGCTTTATGGTCTATGGTTTGCATTCTTGATTCGTAATTTTCAGTATTTGATTAATCTGATATGCAGTATGAAAGCAGAGTAAGAATTTAAAGTTTCAGTGTTTATCATTTTTTCTCAATTAGTAAAGAGAGGAATTAAATGTAAATGCTAGGAAAAAATATTTTTATGCTAATATATTTGTCTATAACTTTTAAATGTGTCCTCTGTGTAACTATAAATAAAATATTTTAGAAATCACTTTAAGATGAATTGATATTTGTTAGCGTTGGCTTTTTCAGTCTTCAAAATAGATAATTATTTCAGTGCCTGGAAGTGTTTTTTGAATAATTATGATTGTGAGGTTCCATTTCTGTTCAGATTATTCTATTCTATTCTATTCTATTCTATTCTATTCTATTCTATTCTATTCTATTCTATTCTATTCTATTCTAGAATATAAACATAAAGACAGAATAAGGAGATGGAAAAGAAAAAAAAGACAAAAAATATAAAAAGTGACTTCAGATCATCTATAAAGTGATGATGATGTTATCCATTCAGTCAAGTCTGATTCCTGGTGATTCTATGGGCCAGGTCTCTACACATCTTCTGATCTTGCACTATTTCTTTGAGGTTTTTCTATGCTCACTGCTGTCAGCTTTGATAATGTCGAGTCACTGTGTTCTTTGATGGGCTGGTTTCCTTTTATTGCTAACTCTTTCAAACATAATTCCAGTGGTACATCATCTATCCTCCCTCTTTAAGATCGGATAATAATTCTCCAGTATATATTACTTCTTGATGACTTTATTTATTTATTTATTTAAAATTTATATATTTTATTTTATTTGTTTGTCAAACATGCACAAGATAACAAGTATAGATATGAGCATAAACATGAACAAAGGAAGTAAATACAGATAAATGGAGACAGTTAGACAGGAATGGTAGGCACACTGGTGCACTTATGCATGCCCCCTTTATGGAACTCTTAAGAATGGGATGAGGTCCATGGTAGACAGTTTGAGACTGAAACTGTGAGGGTTTAAGGCTAAGCTTTAAGGAGTTGGGTAGAGCATTCCAGGCATTGACCACTCTGTTGCTGAAGTTGTATTTTCTGCAATTGAGTTTGAAGCGGTTTACTTTGAGTTTGTATCGATTGTTTGCCTGTGTTTTATTGTGGTTGAAGCTGAAGAAGTCATTGACAGGCAAGAAATTGTAGCAGACAATTTTGTGTACTATGTTTAGATCGGACCACAGGCAGCGCAGTTCCAGATTGTCCAAGCCCAAAATTTCAAGCCTGGAGGCATAGGGAATTCTATTGTGAGTAGAAGAGTGGAGTATTCTGAACCTGCTCAATCATGTTAATGTCCAATATACAATGTGCTTAAATCCTGGCAATCTGCAGAAGAAAAGTCTTTCCAATTGCAGTAATAAATTTATTTATTTATAAAATTTATAGACTGCCTGTCTTACCTCAGGGTAACACTGGGTGAATTTTGCATATAAGACAGAACCCTGTACTATCTGCAGCAAACATTCCCACAGCAGCAACTGCAATGTGATGATTCTCCCCATCATCCAAACATTAGCACACTTTGTATATGTGTCTTAACTTGATATTATTGGGAGGGAGACAAGGTTTATTAGGTGTGCTTGTATGGTGAATATACAACACATTTGATCTGAATGCCAGAACTGGACTTTATTTTATTACATTGTAAGTTATCAGTCACTGTTACTGAACTTTTTTTTAATGCAATTTTGTTGTTTTTTATGAAACATTTTTCTATCTATTTGTCTTAAACAAATAGAAAAGAATGACTTCTTTCCACAAGGTCCATTATCATTGTAGATATTTATATATCTTCATGTAATTGTGAAGTATATATTTTAATAGTCAGCATATTTTTATCCTTTGTCATACGAATTAAGAACTACAGTCCAATTGTATTTATCTGTGTAATAGCACTGTATCACTTATTCTTTGATCCCTTAAGGATTGAAGACAGTGATTTAATCAGTCAGGAGAAGCTATAATTGAATAAGCAATACGTGTTCACTTTTCACATTATTGAAATTTACAAGGTTAAAAAAAATGAAAATGGCAAATAATTGACAAGCTACATCCCTATGACCAACCTTTACACTTGAGTCCAGGTTTAGGTGGATCTGATCCATTTCATTTGTAAAGAAAGATGCAAAGTACTTATAGTAAGCCACAATTAATTCAGCTCTCATCTTCAACATAATGAAGACGATTCATTATGTGAAAAGAAACACTGTGCTTTTCAATGCAGACACAACAGAGGCAAAGAAATTAAATATATTATTCTAGCTTCAGTGTCAAAGATAAACTTCCATACTTAGGCTGATTACTGATTGTTCCCGAGAATTCTACCACTTGCATACCACTATCATACTATTAATATATTTGCTTTGGCTCTTTTCCAGTTCAGTTTATAAATTCAAACAATTTGCAACTGTCCTAATATATATATTATTGTATAAAACCCCAGAGTATACATAAACAGTTGTACATAATATTCAGCATTTTAAGGTATTTAATATAATGTTTAATTTGTCTGCAATAAATTCTGGTCCACATAAGAGGCTTGGAAAGTGCAGAATAAATGTATTCATCAAAAACTTCAGTTTCTTTTATCCATTGGAAATTATCCCTCACCTCCTTTATCTGTGCAAATATGAAGGTATACAAATATTCTAAAAGAGTCATGTTGATCTTAAATAATCATCCCTCACTGTCACTTTTAATATGATTCTGTGACAGAAAAAACCTTTGGCAGAAGCAGTATTGTCCATTGCCAAGGCCCTTTTTAGGCGTTCCTTTCTTATGGCAAATTGTATCAGTGAAAAAACGTATGATGTCAATGCTGGAGAATACTCATATAAATTACTATCTTCTTCCAATGCAAAGTTTTTGGAACTTGGAATGGAAAAAAGGAATGCAGCCACTCCAGGATTGTACTGTTTACAGCTCTGCAATACTCTGCCCTATTCATGAAAGAAATAAAGTTGTTTAAAATAGATTTGCACGCATGCACATATCGACATATATCATCCATATTGGGCAGAAAATTAACAGGCCACAGACTGCATGTATCCTCATCCCATTTGTTTTTAATCTGTAACACATTTTTTTTAAATTTACATTTATTTTACCTGCCAATGTTTTCTTTCAATTCTATTTCTTTTGTACCAAGAAAGGGTTTCCAACTGGAAATTTGTTATATACAGCAAAATGTTTCATAAGATAGTGTATTTTATGTTGCAGAAAAGTGACACTGAGGTATGTTCCATCCCCTTACTTTTGAAGTGCATTCCAATGCTGTAACTAATTGTATTTTAGGTTAAGAATGTTCTAAATATCTATCCTACAAAGTTGTTTTTGCAAATGTCCAATCAGTGGGAATCAGTTTGCTGTAGGAAATAATTTACAGAAAGTGAGATCATTACTGAAGCAGACTGCTCTAAGTTTCAATCAGAATTTATTTCCGATAAAAGATACTAAGAGATAATTGTAAAAAATCTGCTTGTATAAATCAAAAGATCCAAAACTTTTTTTGAAGGTTAGTGTAAATAACATGAAACCATTTAATATTTTATTTTATTTGCAAAGATTAAAGGGTTTATCGCCTCACAGGTTGTATCAGCTATTTAGAATTTTGTGCTTAAAACTGATAGCAGTGTACGCTCTATGAAGGTGTGCATGTAATATTCAAAATATTAACAGAATTTAACTCCCTAAATATGATTTCATACAATTTATAAAATCAACAGGAAATAAACATCTCAGAATAATGTAGCAATCCCCCCATGTAAGAATGCAAGGAAATTGCATGAATATAATCAACAAGAATCCAGCTTCACTGGAGGGCATTTTGCCTTACATATAGTGTAATCCTGAAGCTGCATCTGTTCATTCAATTTGCATCTATTCCTGCTCAAATAAAATGAGGGATAAAATTGGTGTAATCTGATAATAACACTGTGAGTCAGATCAAGCTGAATGAGGCCAACCGGCATTTGAACTGCCACCTTGCACAGGTGGATTTAGATGGATTTGAAACAGAGATGCACAATTGTAGAAGTGGAATTTATTTTAGTCACAGAAAAAAATTGTAACCTTATGTCCTCTGGCTGGATAACTCACATTATTACGGCACCAGGATAGAACATAGGTGTTAATGGAGAGACTGAAAATAGTACAGGTACAGCCTGGCTTTACCATATATTCTCAGGTTTAGTTTCAATAAAACCTTTTACTACAATTTAGTTATAAATAAATTAGACGTTGTCTATTCTAAAGGCCCTGAAAATATAAATACAAGAAACTATAAATCTGGGTGACACATAATATTTTAAAATTATTTAAAATTATACAACAGTGGAACTAAATGTTAAAACTTTTAAATTTCTAAAAAGTCCTGGATAAAGTTATAGTTTATTTCAGCAATAGTATATAGTTTATACTGCCAGCTATTAATATATTACGTTTGAATTCCACCCAACTCTCAACAATTTTGGACATAGCAATCAAACAAAGAAATTAAAATTGATAAAAGGTTAAAAAAAACGATTAAAATGACAGTGTGGATGGAATGAAGAAAGGCATCTCACCTGCCTTTGCCAAAGGTCTGGGTGAAGATTGAGGTCTTAATTGGTCTTCTGAACAACAGCAGAGTGGGGACTATCTGTAGATTTTAAGACCACCCCTAATCTCTAATAACAATTTATTCTACCCTGTTTCCCCCAAAATAAGATATCCCCTGATAATAAGCACAATCAGGCTTTTGAGCACATGGCAATAAGGCAATAAACCCTGCTTATTTCAGGGTTCAAAAAATATAAGACAGGGTCTTATTTTCAGGGAAACACAGTACAATATGGGGAATGGTATAATTTTATGCTAATATTATTTCATGCTGAGGACTGAAAATTCTCCACTAAAGACCTAAGATTGTGGAACAGGATATCCAAAAGTATTATTTGGTTCCGCAAGTACTTTGTGCCTAACCCATTAAGCTTTTATATACTAAGAAGAATTGGGCTTGAAAAGTTTCTGGCAATCAATCCAGCTGTTTCAGGACTGTTAAGCCTATATGTAAAGGCTTTTTTTGAAAATACCTAAAGATGCTTATTTATTTTTTTAGAACCTTGCTGGTGCATATTACGCTATTATGTTCAGGTTTAAGAATAATAGCATCAGCAGAGATGTGCTTGGAATTTCAGCCATCTTATTATTGCTGAAAACCCATCATACTTGAGAGAAAAGAGAAACAGCACTGAGTTGGTGTAACAACCATATAAAGCATCTGCTGGAACTATTTAAGAGGATTAATTAACCCAAATGAGAGAAGAGATACTCAGGAAGGACAACAAAGGCTGCCTGATCAGACAGCCTAGTCATGCAGTTTGTAACAATCAATGAGGGCTTCAATGAGAATAAAGATTATTTTTTCAAAAAAACAACAACACCCCACACCACTCTTTTGTCTATGTTTGCACAAAATCTGCTATTTCAGAACACCCAGGAGTTTCAATTAGAGTTTCAGCAAAGTAGGAAGCAGACATTATAGAACTCAGACAAAGCGTATGCTATCTGAGCAAGTTAGTTAAACTAGCCTTTGACAATATACCTGCATAATCTCATTTTCCAGCCTGAGCCAAACAGATTTCCTGGAAATAATTCTTGCCTTGTAATATTAAAAAACCTGGGAAATTTCATTTTCTCAATCAGGTAATTATAAACTTTTGTTATATATATGTCATATATATATATACATATATATATATGACTCGTGTATACGTTCAGTATCCAGGGTCAACTGCTGAAAGCTTATGACCATTGTTGATTCTTATTACAGATTCAGTTCACACACCTGTTTCTTTTCTTAGTCTTCACTGTTGCCTCTCAGTAGGTAACTGCAAGTCATGCTGGATCTCTGTGGGAAAATAAAACAAAGACGATAAATGACATGTCGTAATCACTAGAGGTCACAGCACTGTTGCTGGCTGGGATCTTCTAACCATTAGGTGAGTTTGTAAGAACTTTATCACGTATAAAAAAGCTACATTAAAAAAGGAATTTTGCTTATGATGGAATTTTAATGCCTGAAAATATTTACAGATAGTCCTCGACTTACAACAGTTGATTTAGTGACCGTTCAAAGTTACAACGGCACTGAAAAGGTGACTTACCATTTTTCACACTTATAACCTTTGCAGCATCATGTGATCAAAATTCAGATGCTTAGCAACTGACTCTGACTATTTATGATGGTTGCAGTGTCCCTGGGTCATGTGATCACCTTTTGTAGGGCTGTCAAACTTGTGGCCCGCAGGCCAGATGCTGGTCTTATCTAGCTCCCAAACACAACAAACCCTCTGAAGTTTAACTCAGATTCCTTTATTAGGAGTGCCAGCAGCGTATCTCTCAATGCAGGCTAACAAGTCAGTCCAGCCAAAAAATGAATTGTTGTCTGCCACATCTATTCAGCTCCACCCAGAGCTAGGGTGGGGCTTTGCTAGCAGCAGGGGCTCTTCTTTCCCATGGATCATTCCACAGATTTCCACTCCTCCTCTCTGCCTTCTGCACATCTGCGCATCAGGCACCCAGCTGTTCCTCCTCTTCCTCATCAGCCACCTCCAGACCTGGGAGCTGTTGACTCTCCATCTGAGGGCTGACGGATGGCCCAGGCTCCATCTCTGCCAGCTCCATTCCCTCTTCCCCCTTGGAGCTTTCAGGTTGCCTTGATGCTGACCCTGACTCCACCTCTCCTCCTCCTCTGGAGCCAGCCGCCAACACGCCACAAGTGATGTGTCACGTGGTGGCCAGGCCCACACCCGGTTTAGCAAAGGGGAAAAAAGTTGTGATACATCACATGATTCTACCATGACAACATGAGTTTGACACCCCTGACCTTTTGTGACCTTTTGACAAGTAAAGTCAATAGGGACTCCAGATTCATTTAACAACTGTGTTACTAACTTAACAACTGCAATTATTCTCTTAACTACTGTGGCAAGAAAGGTCATAAAATGGGGCAAAACTCACTTAACAAATGTCTCACTTAGCAACATAAATTTTAGGCTCAATTGTGGTCTTAAGTTGAGGACTACCTATATTTCTTTGTCAACCTTGGTTTTGAATATTCACCAGAAACATATATCTTAAGAGTCAAGCTGAGTTTCTTTATTCTGATGCTTGGCTTTTGCAAACTTATGTTATACTAGACATAGGTTTGTCTAGTGACTACCTATACTCATTAACAAAGACATATTTGCCTTGTATTTTTATAAGCACCCAAGGATACACAATAACCTCACATACTGAAAAAAACATTGATGTCAACAAAGTTCATCTACCCACCTGAGAGAAATGCCATGAGAAACATCTGGGGGAAGCTATTCCACTGAGAAGTTAGAATTCTAGGGTCCAACAAGACACCATTGTTTAATAGAAGAGATCCAAGGCTTTCCATCAATATTAGATCTGGTGGAGAAAGCAGAAACAATGGGAGAAAGATATGGCAAGTGGTCTGGCCCTAAGCCATAAAGATTTTATAGATGATGACCAACACCTTGAATTGTGAAGCTACTGGATGCCAGTGCAGCTATGCACTATTTCTGAAGTCAAAAGTTCCTTTAGCATACCTATATGTCAGGCATGATAAAAATTCCATTGTATCTGAGAAAACATGTGTTATAGTATTAATTTTTTCTGAAAGTTCTTAAACTTCAGTTTTATTAAGCTGACATTTTAGGGCACAATTTCATTTCACTATCCACAGCAAATAATCATGGAAATCTTAATGCAAGAGTTTCCTCTGTTTTTTTTTTTTCTGCTGAGTTTGGTATCTATGAAGCCTCAAATGCATTCCATACCTCAAAGCTTCATGATCTGATAATCAATATTAGCTTTACCATACAGAATTCCTACACATTCTAACTATCTCTGAGTTCAGTTACATCCCAACATACTCAGGTTGCTGTCTATATTTACTGGCCTTGGAAGGAAAGTATTAACCAAAAGCATTTATGCATTTCCCTTGTTCTCACACACCAAATGCTCAGAAGCAGTTTGAAGATTATCTGTGATTGTCTTCATTCCCTTTTGCCAATTTATAGTGAACAAGGACTTAAATTTCTTGCCTTGCTGCAGACTGTCCCTGCAACAGCAAAAATCCTTATACCAATCCACCAAAAAAAAAAAAGGGGGGGGGTAAGGAAAAGTCAAAAGATTTAAAAGACATAAAGGGAAACTAGGGATGTTGGCATCAATACAAAAAAAAACTTCAATGTATTTTAGATTATATCTTATTCAACAAAAATATTTCAGACTTATTGACTCCACTGCACTTATACAGAAAAGACTAGTATAAATATTTTTGGATATACAGTGCTATTAACATTTCATTTATTTGTTTAGTATAAAATACTTGCTCATTTGGAAAGAGGAAAATTATGCATGTGTTACGTCAACTTGAAGACAACATTTAATATTGTCAAATGTTCATATTGTTTTGAACAATATTTCTATATTATGGAAATTGGCATCTGGTCCAAAAGAGTGATTTTTTTTTTTTAAGGTTCTACACATAGTTAAAGAACCAATTCTTCACCAGTAGAAAAATAAACATATGGCTTTAACTACTCAGTGTTTCACAGGGTTATTATTAGCAATCTACAGTACAAATTAGTTGACATAGAAAAGCTATGGATAATTTGTGTGGTGTGTGTGTGTGTGTGTGTGTGTGTGTGTGTGTGTGTGTGTGTGTGTGTGTGTAAAGAAAACATAGGAAAGGAAACAGAGTAGGATCTGAGGGTCAAGAACCAGAAGAACAGATGAGGCAAGCCAAAACTTAAACCAGAAACACCTTACTTTTGCAGAAATTTTAGCCAGTCTGAATTTTAGTGAGCCACAGCTTCTAGAATTCCAGAGATAGTACATTATGTTCATGAGGAACTTTGTCAATATGAACTTTATAAAAATTGCATTATTTCTTTTTTAGCTTGGAAAATATAAATATAAAAAGAGATCAAGCTGGTGTTTAAATACTGATAAAAAATCTAGGAGTCCGAGTATTTTAGGACTGGCTGAAAAATCTAGCATGTTCACCAGTCCTTAAAGAGTGTACCATATTTTTCAGTGTATAAGATGCACTCCGCCCCCCAAAAAAGTGGGTGGAAATGTCTGCGTGTCTTATACAGTGAATGTTGCCAAAGCCCTGCCCACCCGCCAGCCCCCACCCATCCTCCTCTGCCTCCCAGCAATTTACCTTTTTCAGCAAACAGCAAACTGCCTGGTCAGCTTCAGCATAGCCTGATTTAGCACAAGCAGCTGATTGGCGGTTGGATTGGCCTCTTGGAATACTGCCTATCAACTTTTCCAGGCTGCAGGGATCACCGCTACCTGTCACCACCATCGCCACTCATTATTGCTGCCACCTATCACCACCTCAACATGCCCCATTTTCAGCCTCCGCGTATCCTATTTTTGGCCCGTTCCAGGCACCGATCCCCACCGCCTGGAACAGGCCAAAAATGGTCACATGGAGGCCAAAAATGGGGCATGCAGAGGTGGCGATAGGCAGCAGCGATGGGAGGTGATGGTGGTGATGGGTGGTGGTGATCCCCACAGCCTGGAATGGCTGATAGGTGGTTTTCTGGGAGGCTGATCCAACCACCAATCAGCTGCTTGTGCTAAATCAGGCTGTGCTGAAGCTGACCAGGCTATTTGCTGTTTGCTGCAAGGAGGTAAATTGCTGAGGGACAGATTTTTTTCCCTTGTATGTCTTATACTTTGGAGCATCTTATAGTCCAAAAAATACAGTATATCAAAAAGATCTCTAAGCTTGTTGACATATCCAAGGAATTGGAGTATATGCCCAGCTATATCACAACAGCTTTCATCTACATTATTTCTTTGCCATTAAACTGACCCATGCCAGGTGAATACACATATCCACAATCTATAATTAGATGTGTTGCTAGTATGCAGTAGCAGATCATTAAAGTATTCAGTAATCAGTATAACAATATGTATTTTTCTAGAATAGTTTGTCATGAATGTTTCATATATTTTTCTTATTATATTTCATATTCAGCACTAATAAAGCAAGGCATAGTATATGACAATGAATTTATTATTATTTTCATGAATTAACTAGCACACATGCACGGAAATACTGTGTGAGGTTTACATGACTGCAGGAGAGGGTCATAATTGTGAGCTAATTGCTAAGCACCTAAATCACACTCACATGACAATAGAAATGCTGCAAAAGTTGAAACTCCAAATACTAATCATAAATTCAAACTGTTCTGAGTAAGTACTGGTAGTTGTTAAACAAGGACTAACCTTGCTTAACATGTCTATTGGTTTCACACTTTGGCATTTTTATCAACATTTGACCCCCAACCACTGGAGATGAGAACTACTCCTATCATTTTGGCCTTCTGGAAGGGTATTAAAATTTGGTTTTGTAGGTTGGCTTGGGCCCCCAAGGGGACACTCATTGCTGGAGGTGGTTGACAGGATAAGAACATCTCCTCCCCAGCTGTTCATCTTCTTGTTTCTATTTTTGTTTTGTTTTTTGCATAGTTTTAAATTTTTAATTTATATAATCTTAAATTTTTAATTGCTTTTCATCTTTTTATGATGTAAGCTTGAGACATAAGAACTTGAAAAGGATTCAGTGTTTGCTTCCAGACTTTGAGATCTTTTCACTTTTTTCCCTTTAAGTGTTAAGAATGCCTTATAGAGTTTATATGCTTCATGTCCCTAGTTCAGGGGTGGTATGCACTTACTTTCTCTACCAGTTTGCAAATGTGAGCCTGCACTCTAGTTGCTATAGTTTAGCAACTATAGTTGCTAAAGATTTGCAGATCAGCTTGCTATTCTTAAAAAAGAAATAAATGTTTCTAGAAGCATGTTGGTGTTTTGAGGCATAGTTTATAAAACTCCATATACTTATAGAGTGTTATTCTATTGTGTGTCACAGAAGGAAAAGAAGCAAAAAAAACCACACACACACAAAAAAAAACAACCCTTCAGATTTATTAGAAAAGGGGAAAATGTGATGTCATGACATCAATAATTTCTGTACACTGAGAAACCAATAATATTCCACATAGCAATTACTGCTATACTATCTGAAGCAAATCTTCCAATATTTTTTAAAAAAATATTTGAGAGTAAAACAATATTTAATTAACAATGTTCACCAAGTTGAACAAAAATAGCATGATTAAATTTGGCAAACCAAAGTTTGCTTACATAATTATATAAGCAGCTATGTCAAATTAAACAAAAGATAGAATGATCAGTATATATGTACACAATTACACACAGAGAGACTGCAAGCATAGAGTTTTATTTTAATTTTATTGGAATTTAGCAAGAAATAATTCCTTAAGTAACTGTAAGAAAAACAATAACAATTTCATCAGATAGATTATATCATAGAGATTTCCATGAGAAAATATAAGATGGTAAAGCTAAATGCATTGACAATAGTACCTCCATTAATACTACTGGAATCAGTCCATTATTATTGCAGGATTATGAATGCATATTTAAGTAAATATAGTAGGAAGATTTGCACTGTATAATGTCATAATAACATTATAATTACTCACTTGGCATAACTACTCGCATGAGCCACGGTGGCACAGTAGTTAGAATGCAGTACTGCAGGCTACTTCTGTTGATTGCCAGCAATTTGGCAGTTCAAATGTCACCAGGCTCAAGATTGACTCATCCTTCCATCCTTCCGAGGTGGGTAAAATGAGGCCCAGATTGTTGGGGGCAATATGCTGACTATGTAAACCACTTAGAGCGAGCTGTAAAAGCACTGTGAAGCCATATATGCTATTGCTATTACTGGGCACTACCACCCAACATTCTAGGACTGTGATGGAGAAACTATGGCACATGTGCCAGAGGTGGCACACAGCACCCTCTCTGATGGCACACGAGCCATCATCCCAGTTCAGCTCCGCTAAAATTGTGCGCATGCCTCCTGCCGGCCAACTGATCTTCGGGTCTCTGCCGTGCATGTGCAGGGGGCAAGATGGGGGGGAGTGTGTGCATGTGCGAGGGAGCAGGGCACGTGACGGGGTGTGCACATGCATGGGGGCGGGGCACATGTGGGTGCACATGCATGCGTTGGGAGGGTGTGCATGCATGGGGCTGGGGTGCATGGATGGGGGCACACTACATTACATTTTTGGTGTTTGGGTGTGTGTGCATGCATTCACACACACATGTGTGCATGCTTTGGACACTCGCTGCAGAAAAGGTTAGCCATCACTGTTCTAAGATTTAAAATAATAAGCCTGGTTCTATTTTAAAGATGTCTCATTCAAAAGATGAAACATTGGTTTCATATTTTAAAATCATATTTTAATACTCATTCAGTATATTTATATTCATGATTCAGTGTGCATATTTATTGGAATGTTCTTAACAAGTGTTAAGA